ACTGCTCTGACCACAGCTCGGAGAAACCGCTGAGCACGCGCCACGAGGAGGTGGCCGGGCCGAGCAGCCGAGCAGCTGGGCGGCACGGCTGTGCGCCTGGGAGGTAGGCAGCGTGGGAGCAGCCGTGGCGAGCGGGACAGGCTACCCGGCAGGCGCTCCGCGGGCCCCACAGCAGGGAGGGAGGGAGGTGCCCGGGCCCGGGGAGTGCAGAGATGGAGTGCAGGATGGGGCTTCGGAGGGGCGCGCGTGCGCTGGCGCAGCATTGGCGTGGTGTGCGCGATCCTGTGGGAAGGTGGCAGACCGAGCAGGTATGAGCTAAAGCAAGTAGACTCTGCTGCGCTCACTGAGGCTGTGAGACGGACAGGTGCAGGGGGGAGGTGGGAGTGGCCCAGGCCGGGAAGGGGGGGAGGTTTACTTGCCGTGCAGGGCAGGGGCAGCGATGCCGCGGCCGCTCGCGTTCTAACCTGGAACATGCTCATTATTGCCAGCTGAAAATGCCGGGCTGGCCAAAATGCCGGCCTTCCGTGACTGGCCAGGCGGGGCCGGCGCCACCACCGGAGGGAAGGGGAGGGGGAGGGGGCGCTCCGGGGGGAGCTGTCCGCATTATAAAAATACATAACGCCAAAGCGGGCCCGGGCGCGAGGCTACACGCCCCGACCCCACGCGGCCGCCCCCGCCGCCGCGCCCGGCCACGCCCCGGCACAGATATGATAAGGTTGTCATGTCAGGCGACAATCGACACCCATCCGCCCCATCCACCGCGATTACAGGAAAAACGCACGGGCCCCGGGGCCGCGGGGCGACACCAGCACCTCCGTCGGAGAGACAGAGAGGCAGAGAGAGAGAAAGAGAAAGAGAGAGAGAAAGAGAGAGAGAGGCACAAGAGAGACAGAGACACACAGAGAAATCAGAGAGATACGGAAACATAGAGACAGACACGGAGACACAACGACAGGGAGAAACAGAGACAGAGACACAGAGACGTACAAACGTCGTTCTTTTAAGGTTCCGTACGGCCCCATTGCTGCCGTACTGTTTCCTTGTCTACCACCCAAAGCTCCTGACACCAGGATTGCCGCTCAGCGTAAGGTCGATATCCGTAAAACACACACAGGTTAACAGGGGGTCCCTCTGACCTCACAGGCTAAGGCATTCTAAAATATTTTTTTAGGGGGGGTATGTCCCAAAAAAATTCCCGATTTTGTCTCAACAAAACCGAAAAATTATTTTAAAAAATCAGAATAAACATTGATCCCTGGGTGTTTGTTCTTTCTTCTGCATGTGCGAAGGGCCCGGGTCTGCCCGTCGCGCGGACCGGACCAGTTGCAGTGTAATTGACGCTGACAGGCTGGCGGTGAGCTCGGCCCCGCGGGACGCCCAGCACCGCCCCGCCCGGCCCGTGGGGGCGCCTGCTGGGAGCCCCGCGGCCCCACGGGGACATGGAGGCATTGTGTGTTTTCCATGGAATTGGCCTGTGGCGGCCCGCCATGGCATTTCCATAGGAGGCACGTGTTCCACGAACGGAAGCGCAGTTATGCCCCCACAAAACACACCCCTTTCTCTCCCCCCCC